CCAGATGATCGGACGTTCTTGACATCGGTCCAAATAGCGGTCGCCAGAAACACGTTCAGGCACATGTAAAGTGGACATGAACCTCTCTGTCGCATTCCTAACAGTCGAACGTTCTCCACTGCAGCCTACATACCTTAAAACACAATGGCTGTTCGCGACATACGCGCCACAGAGACCTGAATGCATTTTTGCCCAGTCAGACGTAAGCTCCCTTTCACAAAGATCAAGACTGAAATCCTAGCGAACGAACTGAATAGGTTAGGTTAGGTTCTTCAATATGAAATGTTGGATTTCTTTTATTGTTGTTTAAGATAATATTTTCTTCAATAAATTGAACATTTCTATATATCTTATATATAATTTTAAAGGCTTAAAATATGCTGATTCTTACAGTGTAATTGATTTTCGTATTCATTAACTTTTTAAACTTTCATTTATCTTTTTTGTTAAACATGAATAATCGCGACTTCCGAGATATTTTTTATATGAATATAACTTGGCCAATTACGCTGCACTGGCCATGCGAAATATCAATGGGGCATTCGGAGAAAAAAACACCTGATGAACGCACGGTACAGCGGTGGTTTAAAGAGTTCAAATCCGGCAAAACGAACCTCGAAAATTAAGAGCATCGCAGGCCGAGTAGTGTATTTATAATATTTACCCATTTGTTGATAGTAAAATAAACATATAAACAAACCAAAAGCATACAGACGAGTCCTTCTTTTCGAACCAATACTGAAAAACATTTGGAAAGTGCATGGACTAGACTTTTTCTGGCAAACCTTCTCAATTTAGTTCGTAACATTGAGGCATGATGCAGAATGAGGCATTATACAGCAAGTCTCAAGATTACAGTCGTGGACTGTACGTGGTCTATCTAGATACAACTGGGAGCCATCATTTAATTATCAGTTCTGGAGCTCTGTGTAATGAATCTCCAGACAGAAGACACGGTTTTACAGCGGTAACAGGGAGCAGATATATTACAATATTAAATGTGAGTTGAAGCCGACGGTTAAAGTCTACCAGTCGCCAAACAACATTGAAAGTCAAGAATGCCTAACACATATTATACCGCATACCAAGGGTTACCAAAGTTGTTAACAGCGTTAAGTAAGAAGTTGACGTTCATTTCTGATGTCAGCTGAAATACAGCAAAGTTTTATGACCGAAGCGTCTACTAAGTGAGATTTCAGGTTCTCACGGAGGCAAATATAAATATGGTAATTTTCTGGGTTGTTACGTCGTAAAGCGTGGTAGAAGTTCACAGTCGTTTCAGACCCTTGCTAGCCCCATCATCAGGGCGATGATTCCGCGTGTCGGCTCTGAAATGTCGGTAACCACCTACCAGAATGCCCTGAGTATTCAACCCAGAAGACGGCCATCTTTTAAATGTCTACTTGGTTGTTCTGTTGAAATCTCGACCTATCTACATTTCCTTACGATGTCACTCATTCCACGTAACGTTTGGGATACAATATTGAAACAGGCCACGACAATTTTCTCCTGCAGTCTTATTTCTCTTATGGAGTTATGCAACATCGTACGTTATCAACTTGTCGTCAGATAAATTTGTAAATCAAATAAGGGAAATTCTTTATATTTTTCGTCACGTTTCATAGCGTATTTAATTAATTCATGTGAAATTACGAAGTAAATTCAGAAAAAAACTATGTACATGTTAGTATCTCGTAATCAGAAGACAGGCAGGCAAAATTATCTTAGGTTGGCTAATAAATCCTTTGAAAGGGTTACAAAGTTCAAATATTTGGGAACAACAATAACAAATCAAAATGATACT